GGGAAGTGTCAATGACCCAACATGACCAATGTCCAAATGTGGGAAGTAATACTGGGAAAATACTGGCAGTAATGAGAATATCCAAAACAAAAAGAATAATGTAAAGCAAAACAACTCAAGAACAAAAGTAGACAACAACAAAACAAAGATCGGATGAAGAGAAAATGCCAACTAAAGCACTTAAGGTTCAGAAAATGTCTTGACAGATTGCACACATTTGAAAAAAATCAGTGTGATATATTGCATGTGACAGAAAATGTTGATTGTCCACCAAAATCCATTGCCCAATTCTTCTTAGGCACATGACTGAATTACATTTCCCAGTCTCCCTTGAGGTTGGGTCTGGCCACACAATTGAGTTCTAGCCAATGGCATATAGATGGAAGTTTATTTGCCATTCCCAGTCCTGGCCCATAAGCTTCTACCTGTTTAACATTGGTGTGTATATACTGTTATTTGCTGCCTTTAGTTGGGCATTACAAGGACAGTTGCTCAGGCAAGAGCTAGTTTCAAGTAGAGGCTAAAAATAAGCATGTACCTTGGAGATTAGGAGCTACCAGTATTTAAAAATTATGTGCTTCTAAATGCCAACAGCATAGGAGAAAACTGAAACAAGGCACTGAACCACAAAAGTCCAACCCAACACTATTATCTCAATAACCTCAAGGCAGCTTCCAAGGAGATAGGGAGATGCGTGGATTGAGACAATGAAATAAAATTCTTAAAAATTATAGTTTAAGAAAGAATTTTGAAGATGGTCTGGCCATAAAAATTTATGGAAGTAAATATACCAGAAGTTTATCAAATTTTTGAGAGAAATTAGCAGATGAGTCTGAAATACCATTAGACTTTAAATGTCTTGGGCAAAAATGCTTTCACAAACTTAAAATATCTTTAGATTTTTTTCAAATTTGCATTAGCAATAAGCAGGATACAAAACTCACACAGGATGCAAGAAGTATATACTCCCAAAGTGACGTGGATAAAAATAGCTTAGGAAGAAGCCTAAGGTGAGACAAAGGTCACATAAAACAATAAAAGGAATACCTCCGGACAGCAAATCTAAAAAACATAATCAAGGAATAATCAAGGACTTTCTTTTTTACAAGAACAGACAGAGGTCCACAACAATCATCTATTATTCACATCATTGTCACAGACCAGTAATCCTTCCTTGTTCTCATCTCAGTTCTCTCCTTTTCCTAATGGAAGTTATTATTCTGGATAGTCTTCCGTGAGTGGCCTCTTCCAGAGAATCCTTATAGATTATTACTTCCATTACCAACAGCAACCAAGGTTCTATTAGAATGCAAAGTCTACCAGGAAACCACCCAAATGTAATCATCACACAAGTAAAGCAGCCAGGGTCAAAGCAATCAAATCTTCCACATGCATCCTGACAAATTCCCGCGCTTCTTGAGTTTAAATGGAAACCACTTAGTGTCAAAAAAGTGTGGCAAGCAGCCCAGCTGTTGTTTGTTTCTAATTCAAAACCTTGATTATGTTTCTAAAGGTGAAGGTTTCATCTGTGTAAGTGCATCTAATTATAGATAGAATAAAATGATATCCATAATTACATTAGAAAGAATAAAAATCTACCTATTCCTCAGCCAATATAACTCTAGAATGTGTGATTCAAATACTAGAAATAAAGGTCAGTTTCCTAATCTTAAAAACATCTCCTTGCATCCAGAAGACAAATATAGAAAGATAATTACTTTAAATAATAAGTTAACTGTATTTATATCAGATAAAAAGCACTGATTGGAAATGAACAGTTACCATATCATTGATGGTACATGTGTTAGTTTACAAGAGCTGCCATTACAAAGTACCACAGACTGTGCCGCCTACACAACAGAAATCTATTGTCTTGGAGCTCTGGAGGCTGGATGTCTGGAATCAACGTGTCAGTACCATCGGTTGCTTCAGTCCTTAGACCATAAGTGAAGGCTCTGTTCAAGGCTGTTCTTGGCTTGTGAATGGCTGTCTTCTCCCTATTTTTTTTCACATTGTCTTCCCTTTTGTGTTTCTGTTTCTGTATCCAAATTTACAATTTTTATAAGGATGCCAATTGTATTAGATTAGGACCCATCTGGTCTTTAATTCAGTTGCCCCTATAAAAACCTTATCTTCAAATAAGATCACATGCAGAGATACTAGAGATTAGGACTCCAACACGTGTTTTTTTTCAGGGGGAGGAACACAATTTAAGTCAAAACAGCAAAAAAGTCTAAAAAGTTTCTATATGACAAAATCCCTATTTCAGTGGATAAAGTGGTAATAACTGAATTGAAAAAAAAAAATCTTCTCTGATTTTATAACCTCCAAACTAATTGGTTTGAATTCCAAATCCCCTGGTCCCTCTACTTCTAAATAATTAGGGAATGTACCGAATTCCATTATTCTTTTTGGGAAATACTTAGAATATGTATGGGCAAATACAACCCTAAAAAATAAATGAATTCCCCTGATGCCAAAAGACACAGAAAACTCATTCCTTCCCGTTCTTTTTGCTAAAGCATTTCTTTTAGAAAACTTGCAATTGTAAGTTCCTTCTGTCTATTTGAGAGGGATGCAAACCTTTTGAAAACCTGAATAATTTCTGGCCAGAATTTTTATCTCAGTGAAGTCTTTCTTGGAGCTTTAGAAAGATCTTTCTGAAATGTGAACATAGAGCATCCTGTCGCTCTCTCTCCTTGAGAGTCAGCCTAGGTGCCTGCCTCAAAGTCGTAGCTTTTACTTGTTGCAGAAATACAAGAAGTTTTATTTTTCCTTTCTATCATGACATTAGCATGTATGCAAATTATTTTATTTGCCTGGCTATATAAAAGTGTGAGATGCCTTTCCATTTCTGCAGTCTCCTTAGTGAATTGCTTGAGATATATTTCACAGTCTGATTTAATGCTTATTCAAGTAAAGCTTTCCTACATTTGTGAAGAGGATTTCTAGACTGGCAGAAGACTTTAAATTAATTCCTCAACAAAAATAAAAATCTCATTTTTTCTTCTTTTTCCCTGATGCAATACACACGCAATAATACAGACACACAGTCAACACTACTGAAAACATCTTCCACAATTATGACCTTGAACCATCTATTAGGCATAAAATTGAATACACAGAATGGAATATTTATTAGTGACATCCGCAATATTTTATAATTATGTTTTTGGTACCATTTATTTGGGTACTGATTATATGCCAAAACTGGACTAAATGTTTTGGATAGATCATGTGGTGTAATTGTGCAGCGCTCCTATTATTTGGCTATTACCATTATTTCCAGAGAAAAATCCCAAAGCCATCAAGGTGTAAATAATTTATTTAGCCAGTTTCCATTCCTAGAAAGTAAAGAGAAATGGACCAATCTGACTCCAGAGCTTGTATTCTTCATCATTAGGTGAGCTTCCCTCACATTGTCATGAAGGAGACCATCAGACACCCTGCCAGCACTGATTCCAGCTGGATTCCTGATCACTGGGTTTGCCTGTGGATGCTAGGCGAATTAACTCTGCCTGCCACCACCCTTTCTGTGTTGTTAAAGCAGATTGCATAATGGAAGCCTTCTGTCCTGAATGTTACTGTCTTTAAGATTCTCAGCACTGACTTGACAGCTATGTAATCTTGGAAAACGTATTTTACCTGGCTTAAACTCAGTTTCCTCTTCTGAAGGCAGTGCCTAATGGCAACTTCACTATGACAACAAAGACAGTTGGAAAGTTTCGACTAACAGAATGTATGTGACCAGCTCTGAAGATGGATATCAACAAACCAGAGTTCAGAAATGGCCTTACTCAGCAATATATTTCCTAGGAAATAGGACTATGTAATCAAAACAAAATGAAGTGAGAAAATGAACTAACCAAACAACAACAACAAATATAAGGTATCATTTTCTGTATCTCTTATATTGTTATAAACAATGAAGATGGAATAGATTTAACACCTTTTCACATGTATAAGATTGAATCATATTGTTTTCTCTTATATGAAATTCTCCCAGTATTACTAATATCAAATCAATGCTTCACGCAAAAACCGTTTATCCTGATTCTCAATCTAGACACTAAGAATGGAAACCATATCGGGGTGGCTGGGTGGCTCAGTCGGTTGGGCATCTGACTTCAGCTCGGGTCATGATCTCATGGTTTGTGGGTTCGAGCCCCACATTGGGCTCTGTGCTGGCAGCTCAGAGCCTGGAGCCTGCTTTGTATTCTGTGTCTCCCTCTCTCTCTGCCCCTCCTCTGCTCATGCTCGGTCTCTCCCCATCTCTCAAAAATGAATACATGTTTTAAAAAAAAGAATGGAAACGATGTCTTTCTGTCCATATAACATGACTTTGTAATCCTACTTTGTCCATTCACATTACCCTGATCCGTTTGGAATCCTAATCAAACGCCCACTTTGAAAGACCCTCATTATATAAGACTTCCAATACCCAATAAATTTTGATCCAGTTCCTAAGCACTGTCAAAGCTCTCCTGAGGTGACAGTCTCCCTTATCTAAGTAAGCAATAAACTCAGCTTTGTCTCAGATTGTGTTGGTGACATTGGGGAAGCTAACTTTCAAGAAAGCCTTTTCTAAGGCCTTAAGGGTTATTTTAAGTTGCAAAGCCTTCTATAAAACGTAGATTTCTTGACATAGCACTCATGATATTATCAATATAACTAATGTTATAAGCGAGTATATCCATTCTTGTTGTATTTAACTCTTTCTTAAATCATGCTTTCAAAGTATAATAAATGATAGGAGAACAAGATATCTTCACCATGTTCACTTGTGATACAAATGATTCAAATCCATCAACTCACAATAAAAATTATAAATTAAGATCTTAGTTCCAAAACAAGAATTCACAACAGCATTTTTATTTTTACTATCCCATGGCATTTATATATATATATATACACACACACACACACACACACGTATGAATTTCAGAGTTACTCTTTCAAGAAAAATAGTTAAATGCAACCTCCTTAATATGAAGTCTTACCTTTTCCAGTTTTGAAAGAGCAAGAGAGTAACAGTCTTTGGCTCTGAATTGCATGAATCTCATGTTGGCTGGGTGAGTAAGCTCTGTGATAATACTGAGACTGGAAAACAACCTACATTTAAAAACACACACACACAAAAAAGCATTTGCATCACACTAACAATTCAATATGGTACTTTTTGTAACAACATATTTATGAATGAGTGATTCCTAGCCTTAGGCATAAAACTACATGCAATTACAACAGCAGGCATTGCCACATAAACTGTCTTTATAATGCAAGAAAAATGAAATGCTATTTCCCAAAAAATATTTTAACCAACATTTTAGCACTATAAGAAAATTAAAATTAGTAAGTTGGCCTTTTATTAGACATTTTCTCTACAGTTATGAAATGACATAGAAGAGAAGCTCATGAAGCTAATTTAAGAAATTACAAGTAACTCTGTGGATAATATCAAAATAGAAATTTATAAGATGAATATGACAATAGACAAAGATTCCATATGATGAGTTTATTGTCCATAATGTGAGTTCTTTGATCGTCTAATATTCCCTATTCTCATAGTATGCGATTTTAAATGTCAAATCTTGCTACAATGAATTCCTGAGAAAAGAAAACATTTTAACTCAAATAACATTTTATTGTAATGAATTGAGGCCAAGGCTCAATTGATAGTGTTATTGTAGAAAGATCCTGAGAGTTTTCACATGACCCATAGCTTTGCATTAGGTTTCTTCCTATTCACATCCTTCCCCCAAAACACACACACACACACACACACACACACACACACACACACACACACACAAGATAATAGTTGTCAGATCATAACTTCATTACTGTTATTTTTATTAACTAAGGGCAATGTTTAATATCTAATTTAATAAATAATAATGAAGTGTTTGTTATTGGAAAGCGCTGGTCTCCAAGACCTAAAAAGAGATATAAAGAGAAATTCTTGCCTTTAAATTAGACTCTACTACCCAATAGAGGACACTATAAAAATGTGTATGTTATAAGGCTGTACATATTTTCCTAAGAGTGATAAATATGGCTGACTGAATCTCACAGACTATGCAGCATTAAGACACCAGTGAAGAGACTGCTTGTGAGAAGCATCCAGGACAGTGCTGAGATGTAAAAGCAGAGAAGTAATTTCTGAGAAAAACATAGCTGCAAACCAATGAAAATTTATTTCACCTCTTGGGAAATTTTTATTTTCTCTGAGAAATATAGCTTTTATCTTTCATACATATTATTATTCAAACTTTGGATACTTCTGTGATTACTTGGATGATATAATCCTTTTCTAACACATATCAAGTAGAAATACATAGCTATACATTTGAGATCTGACTAACAGTGAATGGTAATATGACTGAGTGACCTGGTCATTGTATTTAAGTGACTTGTACTGAATTAGATAGAACCAAAAAGTTTATATGATGTGTCATTTGTGTTCTATACAAATGAACCTATACCATTATGTTATTTTAAACTGAGAAAGTGAATGTATTGTCTAAGTCTGCCACCTAGTGAAAATCTAGAACTAAATAATACTTAAATAATGAAAAGTTTTATTGCATTGCCTTTTATATCTATAAAGTATTACTTACATTCAATTATAATACATTTATAAATTTGGTTTTGTAATAGCTTTAATTATGTACCTTTAAAATATGAATCTGTAAATCTATTTCTGGGCTTTAATATGACCTAAACACATTTTGAATATAAACACTTTAGAAATAAAATGACATAATAAATCTATATTCCCCTAGGTACTAGGATCATAACAAAGCAATATTGTAATTGAAAAATAATATGGTCTGGGGTGTTAGGGTGGCTCAGTAGCTTAAGTGTCCAACTTTGGCCCAGGTCATGATCTCACAGTTCATGAATTCAAGCAGTGCTGACAGCTCAGAGCCTGGAGCCTGCAAGGGATTCTGTGTCCTCCTTTTTCTCTGTCCCTCCCCACTCATGATCTCTATCTCTCTCAAAAATAATAAACATTATAAACAAGAAAAATAATATAGTTTTTTCTATTTAAAACTTTTTCACAATTTATGTTCTAATTTATTGATGTAAGTACCTCTGTGGAAATGTGGAAAATCTTATGGAATAGTTCTCTGCTTGAATTAATTTATTCAAACAATACTTTAGACAGACATGCCCAGTTATGCTAACTAATATAAAGATAAAAAACACACCATATACTCTACTTCACGGATCAATGGGAGAATTCTGAGAATAACTGCAATTATATATTCAAGAAAAACAAACATAAGGACATAAAAAATCTGGAAAATGTTCACAATATTTTAATTTTAAAACTGAGCTAGTGTGCTACACTAAAATTTCGATTTGTTGTGGTGGCTAGGAATGATGTTTCTGAATAACAAGCATATATATTAATATATAGGTAGACAGATACACTTTGATATGTAAAACACTAGTTTTAGATTACAATTGACTCTCAAGACTAAAATAAATGTGAATATATTTTAATCTTTTACAAATACTTTTTAAACACTTTAAGTCTGAGATATCAGATATCTCTGTATTTAAAATTTTTATCTATGTAAACCAATCAAAATAATAAAAATATTTCAGCACTATATAAATGATTCATTCTTGGATTTATACATATTCATTATCACTATTTTCAATTATGTCATTTCGCACGGTCATAGGTATGGCATTTCTTCAATAAGTATGATTACTGTGCCAATAACCATTTTGGATATCTTGTGCCAAGCTAAAGACAATATTCCTTTTTTTATTTTTATTTTCTAACTTGCCATTTATGCTTTTAGCATCCTGGGGATTCAAGTCTAACTGGATAGCTCTCCCCCACTAGTACTTTTCCCTCAAAGCACTCTTCACATCCTGGCTAAAATAGTCTTTTTAAACTCTATCCTTCAATGATTTCCTTCCTGTTTTTTTTTTTTTTTTTATCATTAAGATCAACTTGTTACCATGCTCTACAAAGCCATGAATATTCTGGTTCTTTTTCTGACTTCAGCCTCATGTTGTCAGTTTTCCACTTGCTCTGCTCCAGGTCCTTGAATAAGCCAGCCTCAGTACCCAAGAGCCTTTGGATATGCTGCCCCCTTGTGGAATGTTCTAATTCTCTCCTTATCTGCTTAGTCTATCGAGTAAACAACAGTCAATTCTTCAGGGAGGTAGGTGTTCCTTGATCCACTTGACTAGATCATACATTCTTATTGTCTGCACCTGTATAACATTCTACTCTTTTCAGTAGTTGCTACACTTATAATTCTACAGTTGAATTTCTTGTTTAATATGTTCACTGCTTAGACTATCACTACTTAATCATACGTCTGCCTTAGGCAAGTGCTGCAGCCATAGCATTCTGTATAGTCCCCAAACTTACTGGATGCTCAATAATACCATGAATAAATCACAACTGCAGGTGTTTATAGATGTCCTCTTGACCTACTAGGGGTTAATGCAGGAATTTTTCTGATTCTTGCAGACACAGATCCATGACTTGATTGAATGTTCCCATTGCCAGAGCACTGACTATCTTACCAGTTTGATCAGCTACATTTTAGGGAAAAAAACGCAAAAGCAAAAATATCTTCATATTAAAACAAAATCAGCCTAAGGGACTTCTGAACTAAATCATTCCTGGACTTTTACAATGCAAATAAAACTAATATTAATTAAATAAAGAGGCCATTATACTGAGATGGCTCTATACTTCAGCAGGTTACTGAAGCAAATCAACACCTCAGCCTATACGTTGCCTCAAGGTAAGAAATCAAAGCCAAAGGACAGCCAATCACAAAGAGCCAACTAGGCTTTCTCAAATAACGCAACCACTTAAGCTGTAGCCAATCAAATAATTTCCTTGCTTTATTTCCACCTCTCCTCTGTAAGTCCCTAACTCCTCTCCCTGGAGCGTTTCTAACCATTTCCTGCCTGGCACTGACAAATCTGAACTGATTTTTGTTCAAATTAATTAAAAAATGTTTAATATGCATGAGTTCATCTTTTAAAAATTAGCAAGTATTTGCTTTCGTACCCATTCTGTTTTAAACTAATGTTTATCTATACTGTGTGCTCTCTAGAAAAACGTTTGCTTCACAACTCCTTGAGTAAGTTTTCTCATCTCCCTTTCTCCTGATATACAGACTTAGGCTGTTGGTTTGAATCGGCCAGTTTTTTCCTATATAGGATAGGACGAGCTAGTAAGTTGCTTTCAATATTTTTTTTGCCCTCAGTTAAATGAGAATAGTGATAGATGCCATTGATATGGCAAACATTCTCAAAGCAGAACATTTTGATAGTCTGACATGCCATTTTGACGTGGTTGTTTTTTTAATTCAAGGCACACTTTGGCATGCTTCTTTAAATTTAGTTTAGATATTAACACTTGTTCATAAAACTGTGAAAAGAGGCAATATTTTCAATATACCAAGTGCTTGTGAGGTAACACCTTAGCAAGAGAAACTTAAATTTTAAAGTGACGACCTGCTTTTCTTTCAATTTGGAAATCAGACACTCATTTAGCAAATCTTTCTAGAATGACTCATGAGTGTTTTCTCTTAGATGTGTAAACTAAGGTCCTTAGGCACAGGAGAGGAAAAGGTTTAACCATATCTGACTTGAAAAGACTTTATCTCCTATAGTTTTTGGTACGTGGAAATGGTCTCTAGGGTTGATGGGCCAATTGCTTAGGATTCAAGGAGTCTCTTCTGAGTAAAGTACTAGAGATACTCTCTTACCTAGAGAATCTAGAACACCTGGAATAGATTGTCCCTGAAGAAGTTTGCTGCTTGCTATAAAGGGCTACTCTGAACCCACAAAGGTAAACTCATCATGAATGAAGGGACAAATCTGGGCAAGTGATCAATACAGGGTCTGCTTAGGTTGTTCTGGTGACAAAGCTTGGCTGAGGCTGGAGGCTCCTCCTGTCCCAGCCATCTCAGAACAAACTTAAGGAATGTTTATCAAATATTTGAGTGTTAAAACTTTGTAGGTCATGCTCTAGACTCTGGATATGGAAAATAAAACACTTCCTGGGTGGGTTCTCTGGAAGAAACATGCAGGGGCCAAACCAGCAAATATACAATTGCCATACTGCATAGAGACACATTGAATTGTGTAATCCAGTTTTCAATTACAAAACTATGTTTAAGTTATAAATGCAATTCCAGATGAAAAGGAATTCTCCCGATGCCTCCAACTATACTGCTAGTGAATTAATGAGTTTCTCTTATTTTTCCTTTGGTATTTTGGGACTGAGTACCTCTGAAGGTCCTTGGACAATCTGGAGAAAGGAGAGAGAAGGCTGTCAAATGAAACTGTGTATGTACCTTAGTAAACTGGGCAGGTAGGGGCTCAAGTGGTCAATTTTCAGCTTCTGAAAAACAACTTTAACCCTATTCCAATCTGGCAAAACAGGTCATACGAGTTTTTATTAATAACTTGTGAATTAGAGCACTGTTACTTTTCATTTCATATTTGAATTCCATCTTATTCTTATCTCCTGGGCTCTAATACAAGCACAGATTGAAGATTTCTTTAATATATTCCTTAGTAGTTTTAAAAGCTGAAAATGTAAAGGTCAAAATGCCCTGTGTCAAAATGGAATGTCAAAATAATCAAGGTAAAATGGCATTTACAAGCTATTAGCTACACAGTCATTTACAAACTAATGCTAATAAAATGTAGCATTGCCCCATACAGAGCAACAGCATGAGGTAATCTTAATTCGCCTACTATATACAACTACAGCTACCCAGCAGAATAAAATTCAGCTCTTATTTGAGGAAATTAATGATATTCATAAAGATTTAAGGATTGGCTGAGATATTTTTGTAAGATTATTAGTGAAAAAAATTTCTAAGACTGAGATGGAGCTTTTCCTGAGGGATTGCCATGCCAGCAAACTAATACTTCAATAACTTTTCTGTCTCTGTGATAAAGCTAATTTGTATATTGGGACCCACAAAACAGAAGCTGTCCCAGCAGCCTGGCCCATGTCACAAATCTAAACTTAAATCAGTCTGTACTCATGGTGAATATCTAACCTAATATACACCAATCCCAATCCTCCAACTCCGCTTTAGCTAGCTCAGTTAAGGCTGGAAAACAGGATCTACTACTAGCCATACCATGAAACGCCTGACCTCCTAGCCAATCATGCCCCGTTTCCATCTTGCCTCTTCTAACATTCTATACAACTTGCTCTTGCCCAAAATCTCTCCGGAAAAGTGTCTCACTGCTTGTGAGGCACAGTACCCACCCCCCAATTTCACAGGCTACTTTCCACTGATTAAAAAATATCAAACTTGGGATGTCTGGGTGGCTCAGTTGCTTAGGTGTTTGGTTCTTGATTTCGGCTCAGGTCATGATCTCATCGTTCATGGAATCAAACCCCATGCCGTGCTCTGCACTGACAGCACAAAGCCTGCTTGAGATTCCCTCTCTTTTTCTCTCTCAGCCCTGCCTCTCCCCTCTCTCTTGAAATAAATATTTAAAAAAAAATATCAAACTCATTATTAAATTGTTTTAGTTCTGTCACTTGACACCTGTAAATATTCCACTTGACCAGAAACACAGTGTATCTAGTCAGCCAGTCCCAAAATGGTAGTCCAACTCTGGGCTCTCTACTAATTTCTTTGTTCTTTGTTCCTTATTCATTTTCTGTTTTTCCCTTTCCTGTACCTTACTCTTTATCCCATTAAAGCTTCCTGCCTCACACCCCATTTTGTAGTTGTTTAGACCTTTAAGAGTGGAGACTGCCCACTTTGTGAAATGTTAAATAAAGTCTGTTTGTATCACTTAACTAGTCTTTAGTCATTTTTAACACTATTCACTCACACATACTCAGTGGTCTCTTAGTTTAAGCTTTAATCCGGTATAGCCTGGTATCCAGCCACTGTGACTGGATTTCTGATTGCCTGTTGCCCAGTTACGAAGATAACTGGATCCTACCTCTGGAATTTTGTCATCTGTCTCAAAGGAAGTTTGTGCAAGATAATGCGCAGAGAAACCAAAGGACAGAAAACTGAGAGTGGGAGAAGGGAGAGAGACAAGGAAAGAGTTAAGATGGGTGTCAGTCCACAGTAGAGAATCAATGATTATCTGTTTATGGTTTCAGCACAGGAGTGACTATAATGATTGAGATTGGAACTTAATCTGGTAATCAAGGAAGAAAAGCCCTCAGGTAACTAAGGACAGTGAAAAAATAACAGAACCAATGGACAGTAGGTTCCAGTGGAGACAAAAGACTGTTAAGACTGAGGGTATTAGACAAAATAGTGTCTCTGGGATAGAGGTGCCAAACGAAGCTTGTTGCTATATTGTTTCAAGGTCTGTGGCTTTTCAACTCTGTCACATAAAAGTGATATTGATAGTGCTATTATTACAGTAGCAAACACTCACTGTAATTGAGTGATTGAAAACTACTAGCCATGTGCTACAGCATTATATATTCAAATCAACTTTGTAATTAAGACATTGAGGTTTAGAGAAGGAAAGTAATTTGCCTAAGATCATATAGTAAATAATCAACCTAAGTGGGACTCACATCTAGCCTCTCCTGAATTCTAAACTCAAACTATAAATTCATAATTACTCTCCATATGTGCTTTGCTACAATATAAAGGTTATAAAGATGGAGTGATGGAAAATGATGATGGAGTTCAGATTGTTTTTATTTAATTCCATAATTTGGTAGCTCTAACATGTCCTTTGGCCTTGTGCAAAACTCATAAAACTGAAATAATGATCTTTTAGATATTTACGTTTTAAAATGGTTTCAGGAAGAACCATTCAAGTGACATAGATATCTTCACTTATAGGTGATTTTGATGCTTAGAGCATGGACTTGTCTTTGGTTTTCACTCTTACCCAAAGATAACCATAATGGAAATTCCTATCTGGATGAGTTATGACTTGGCTCCTAACATGGGTAAGTTGCCTGTTCACAGTCTTACAGTATTTCATTCTTAGTAATACAGTTTGTAAATGCATACTTTTAGCCACTGCCGGTCATAAAACAAAAATTAGAACATACACGGTCTGTCACAAAACATGACTACTACAGCACAGGATTTAGAGTTTGATATATTAAATGATATGAAAAAACCAGATTCATTATTCTATTTATTTTTAAAAGAATGATGATCCTGCATTAAAACTTAAACACACGATGAGGTGCCTGGCTGGCTCAGTTGGTTAAGCGTCCAACTCTTGACATTAGCTCAGGTCATGATCTCATGATCTCACAGTTCGTGAGTTCAAGCCCCACCCCAGGCTCTTGCACTGACAGTGTGGAGCCTGCTTGGGACTTCTCTCTCTTTCCCTCTTTTCTGTCCCATCTTCTCCTCTCAAAATAAATAAATAAACTTTAAAAAAATTCTTTGAAAAATTAAACACATAGTGCCAGTCATACATTTGATGTTAAAAAGTATTTGTTTTTTAATTAAATGGATAAACAACTTCAGGGTAAGTATCTCATGTTCATTTCTTATATACAGAGTCAGAGTCCACTATTTCACAGATAGTTAGCAGTATATAAAAAACAGGCCAGAGCTATTCAGACAGTTACCTGAAAAGGGTCTGCACATTTACAATCGTTTTGGCATCTGCCATGTAGTCTTCCTCGGCACTCATGGTGCTCTCTTTGTCCACAACCACCATGTTGGCAGCGAAAGTCACTCCACACCTGAGTAAATCATCTAGGCTTTGATAAAAATCAACAGAGAAAAATGGACTTTCAATAAATCACAGTTCTAAGATCAGAGCTTGCTTACCCACTACACGTGTACAGGTTACCCTCATAGATGGCTTTCACAGAGTTTGCCCTGGTAGATGTTAATGAGGATTATAATACATTCCCTACTGATATGAAATAATTTGTATTTTTGAGCTGTTTATGTTTCATTATATCTGAACTGTTTCAAAGCACTATGCTTTAAGAAAATTTTTAAATAATATTAATTATATAACTAAATCATGGAAAACATCTATTTTGCAATCAAATAGAACTAAAGCATATTAGAACTGTTTTTATGGTTAGCACACTATTTCAAAGACATGACATTTAAATCTTTTTAATCCCTACAGTACTTTTGGTAAAAGTACAGATGAATACTTATATTACCTTTGATGGTCTAGCCCAACAAAGAAATATTAAACTGAATATTCTCAAATGTGGATTATTTCTTTGTGACAGCTATGTGTTAATGATTGGTTCTACATAGCCACAAACATAAAAAATAAATATCAGCTGTATTAAAACTCACCATTTACCATTTAGTTTTTGAGCAACTGATTAAATAACTTAATTTCTTTAGTTGCATGAACTAATTGCTAAACTAGAATACAAGTTTCTGAAAAAAAAAATAAAAAAAAAAAAATAGAATACAAGTTTCTGTGACTCATAATAGTCAGTTTTCTCCCGTATCACTGATAAAAACTAGCAGTTTCCCAACGAATTAAAAGAAAATGTACCATTAAAGTTGAAACAAGGAAACCATTATCTCACTGCCTCTGCTTCTTACAAACTAGTAAAATAGGACTGAATTAGATAAAGGAGACTAAACTTGAATGAGTATAAGAATGCTCTTGGTACAAAGTTGATTGAAGACAGAGATGAAATTGGGCTAATTGGTTTCTACATGTTCTGATTTAAAATAAGAAATGTAGACCTTACAGAACAGTAGTTCCTTTTAAATTCTTCAATTGAAAGGTCAGTTCCCTGAGGAACTTTTCCAAGTGCGTGATTGGTGAAACTATCCACATCAGTTAGAGGGAACTATTTTCTTCTTATGATAAGGAAGGAGGTGGGATTTCTTATTGTTATGAGGTGAGAGAGTATTACCAAAGCTCTGAGTCCAAGATCCCCAGGAGTAGTTCAGAAAAAAATATTTTGCTTAACTCAGGAACAATGCTCTGTGGCAAAGATCTTATGGCTAAGATTCTGTATGGAAGCAGAATGTTAGTCCAAATAAATTTCCTATGGTAAGAAGGGCCAGTACCGTAATATCCAATCAATATGATGATCAGATTTAAATCCCCAGAAATACTTTATTTGCATATCCTTTTAACTAGGAAATTCATAATTGTTCCTGTATCTATTAAAATACATTTTTTAAAAAAGAAGTAGGTATAAAATTAATGTGATATAGTCCCTTATGGGCCATAAAAATGAAGTCCAAGTTATATGCCTTCAATTCACCTTATTATAATTTTACATCACTTTCTAAGTCACCTCTTAAAATCTTTCTACCCAATAAAAAAAGTCATCTCTCCATTATAATTATCTATGCAAAAAGAGAGAAAGATAAAGTGGGAGAAGGTAAGCTTGACTGGAAAAGGATATACAGATACAAATTATGATAGAAAAAATGAATATTTCATCAGTAATAAATCAATGAATTGATTGAATCTGTGCTAAATAGCTAATAGCTACCTATACCTGTATGTATCAGTTAATTCCATACTCAAAATATTGGCTGCTGTAGGGCACATATAACCTTGGCAAATGATTTAGTAATTATGATTTAAAAGAACTTTAAATCTATAGAAAATACATAAAATTGGAATGGCATTTCAGAAACACATAGAAACATTTTGTTCTTCATGCTTTAACTTTGAAACATTTATTTTTACGTGCATTTAATATTACACTCTATTCCTTTTTTATCTTTTTTATTAAGCTACCAATTTATTCTTATAATGCCACAACTATCATGATTTTTCTACCCTATCTGCAAAGCCACTTGCCTATTTTTTATTCAGCACGATTGCTTTATGCAGTTCAGCCACCAGATGGCTGACTAAGATAAAAGTTAATATTGATGAAAAATAGATAATCTCAACTGGCAACAACTTCCTTTGCACACTTCTCTAAGCCTTCCTTCTCAAGAACTACAGTGTGAATGTATGAGTACATGTCAGTGTTGTAAATGTGTTTTAATTCATTCAAAGGTGTGTTTGCTTTTTTAAGGAATATTTCAAACATTAGCAAAAGAGAATAACACAGTGAACCTCCACATTTCAATCACCCAACTCAGCTTCAATAATTATCAGTGTGTGGCCAATCCTGTTTTTTTCTCCATTCATAGGAATTTGACCTTTTCAGTTCTTCTTTGTCTCAACATAAACACGTTTATAGGGGAAGAATTCATTTCATAGTTTACAGCAGCAAAAACAGGTGGGAGGTTTATTCATCCTTTAAATATTCTGTGTTTCTAATGAATTTTAATAGAATGTTATCATTTCATTTTACTAATGATAAAATATAGGTTGATTTCACATTCATGGATTTAAATAGTAATTTCAGTTCATCTAACTACATCTTAGTTGGTTAGTATTAAGATAACGGATCATGTAAATTATATTAATGTAGACTAGAGGCTAAATATAAGTTAGTCAGTTTGGTCTTTAATATGTTCAACAGCCAATAAACACTTCCAAAGTTATAAGACTTGTTTTTTTTCAATACTTACAGGACAAAACGTAAGCATGAAAGTTCTTAATTGATAACTTTTAGACTTTTGTTTTGATGGTTCTGGTATACATTTTTTTTTGATGGATAGTTAACACATTTTATATGCATATTAGTTTTATGATCTTTAGTTCCAATATCTTATAATATGTTCATGCATATAAAAGAATTTGTATTTTAATACTAACATATTTCACACATTTAACTTCTTAATTAAATTTTTAGAATACATAGACTGATAGATGTTATTAGAATAAAGTAAACTCTTATGAAATGCTCCAGTTTATAAATCTGGCTTCAAACGAGCATCTCTAAATTATTTGAAGGTTTCCAGAAGTTATCACAATGATATCAGTGCATCACAACACTGAATCTTTAGGTTTTTTCTATCCCTTGGCCCTTCGTAATAACATTATTGCTACAGACAGCACAAAATTAACATAGCTTTAGAAACTAAGTAAAAGTGACAAAATTCTCATGCAGCAAGATTTGTTTTAATTCAACAACAGATTACTGCTTAGGAAGTTTGAATACAAGATGTATAACAGGAGAACATAAGCTTTGCATGCAAAATATACCATATTTGCAATACTGAAATGGCAAATTACACTCATCATGCAACACGGGGGAACAGCACACGACAAACCACAGGACACCACACTAGTTAGTGTGCCAAAGATTTTGTCACCTACTTGTCAATAGAGCCCACCATGTAGTAAACCATTGGAAACCAACAGATTGCATCCAGAAAATGCATATCTGGCCTAAGTAGCAGATGGGTTACAAAATGAAACACAATGTCACAACAGTGGCAGCGCTTCTAGGGAAAGGAAGTAAGTTGACTTAGTTTGCATTTCCAAAACTAAACACTGTTGACATGATTAATTTGAAGTGCCTTTTTTTCTTACCATTAATTAGAAAATATCATTTGTACTAGTTATGAATAATACAATGTACTATTATATTATAAAAACAAGTTGTATTTCTGCTTTCTAAATCAGAAACATTATGGCATTAGTCTACAAAAATACTGCATTGATATTCTTATTATGACTAAAAAGTCTTATCAATGAGTTTAAAAATTATTCATGCAGAAGAGGAATTGTAAAATGAGAAATTAATGATTTTTTTCTTGGATAGCCCAAAGCATAGAGAATTCAATTAGCATGCTTGTTAAGAGCACCTTCTCTAAGGAATATACACAATCACAACATGCCCTTTAATGTATCAGCATATTAATCAATAAATATAGTATATGCACACATGTTACATATGTATTATATAAAATTAAAATGAAAGTAATTCACCTTTTAAATAATTGACCTACTCCATCTATATCGTTGAGCAAATATTTATTAAAATTTTTTCTTACATGCATATTTGGGGAAAGAATCATAAACCTGGATGCTTCCTTAGAAATCACTTAATCTACTGTATTCATTTTATAAAGTTATTAATTCTTTCATGCATCTATTCAGTTAGCATATATGTACACATATATTTGTATAATAAACATTTCAATATAGTAAGACATATGCAAAAAAGAATATCATGTTACCTTGTACTATGTAAAATACAGTTTTTGGAACATGTACAAAAGCACATAATTACAATATATGTTTTAATAAGAAAAAAAATAAACAGTAGTTTGCACTCAGAAGAAGGCAGAAGTGGAGATCATTTCATAGAGGTGATATTTAATTTGGATGTCTGCCAGTAAAAGAGGAGAGGGAAATTCTAGGAAAAGGGAAGGAAAGCATCTATAATATCCCAGCTAGATGAAGTCTTTTCCTCCCTGACTTATTTTCTTCCTGCTGATCATCCTCTTATCCCTTTAACTCTAAAGAGAAAGAATCACAATACAGTGAAGCTTAAAAAGACAATCTTCCCGAGAATACTATTATTGTAATATTGATTCAACTCAACATTACATTTCTTCATAGTCATTTTAAATGGCCCCCTGTTATTACATATTATAAATATACCACAATTTTAAAAATCCTCAATTATTCAGTTTATAAGTTATTTTCTTTTATATTATTAACTATTGAAATTACAAGTTGTCTCCAATATCTTGCTATTATACATAATACTGAGATGAACATCTTTAAATGACATTCTTCTAGCATTAGTTTTTAAATCATTTATGCCAAAATATTCATAGAAGGATATTAGCAAATCACAGAATATAGATACTTTAAAAGCTCATGATGCATGTTCTTTTCAACAAATATTATAACAATATACGCTCCGAGTAGCAGTCTTTTATAGCAAATTGTGGTTCTGGCTGAGCACTGCTGTGCTTCTTACAATCAGCAGTGCCATTCTTACTCCTGATTCAATACCCTCCATGTCTCTCCTCCCCCACCTCGTGATTAATGAAGCAGGTGTGAGGCCGCAAGTACCACAAGACTAGGACCGTACTGAGATTTTGCGATGGGTTGAAAAATCATTTTGCCCAAAAAATCATTTTCTGGTTATTACTTTGATTCATCTCTCTTTACTCCTATGAAGTTCTACTCAGATAAAGTGAGTAGCTCAATTACTTCTGTGACAGAGATGGATCCATAATTATTCTTTATTAATTGCAGACACGTATCCTGGCTGAAATAACCACACTTTTAATCTGACTCATTCTTTTACATTCAGATCATTTCAATTTCTTTATGCCATCTTCTCTATTCTAAAGTCTAGTAAAACAAGAGTAAATAACGTTATTGAATAATTCACCTTAATAAAAATACTGCAAATCTGTGTAATAAATAGTACTGGGGCCACTGGGGACAAAAATTAAGTACTTACTTCATGCCAATGCTCCTAGTTAGAGTTAAAACTAAATATATGGCCTTTGTATTTTGTTGTTTTGTCCAGTATGAATCATTAAAGGTACTTACTTAGACATCAAAATTATCGCTGTGTTTTAGGTAACTCATGAATGTTAGCCACATGCAATTCTGCCACAAATGTGTATTTACAATGTGCATGCAACCTTCTACATCTTGAGAAATTACATTAGCATCTGAATTATGCTAGCTTGGTTCATCGTTACACAAATTCAGCTATGTTACAAGGTAAATCAAGCCCTTGATGACTAGTAAATATATAATCTGGATGAAGTCTATCTAATGTAGAGAGTCTTATGTGCCATACGTTTTGCAAAATGTAACCTGTATAACAAATGGATTCATCTACTACTTTTAGTGATAAAGTTAGCTTATAAGGAAACTTGAAATATAAAGAACATAGCAATTGTATATTTGCATGTACTCTATTAGCTCATTTAAACAAACTGGCAACAGTGTTCATGTCACTAAGCTGCTTAGTAATTGATAAGTGACATAAATGATAGCATAGGCTCTTAATAGACTAATCTTTCTAATTACTGAAGGTTAATTGGCAAGCATAACCTTTACAATGAAAGACACTAAGCAAAAACATAAAACATTAATAAAAACAGGAAATGTCCATTTCTTATGCTGCACCCTAAACAAGGGACAGGTGAAGAATGAAATGCAGGAAAATAAAACCATCAATATGATAGAATAAAATGTATGGATTTTTTCCTGCATGTCAAATAGAGAAGACCTATCTATGTTAGAAATTACATTATGGAAAAGTGAAAATAATTGCAGATTTAACTCTAAAACCCAATGTAAAAAATTAACAAAAAAGAAATACCATTTAAAAATAGTTTACTTAGGGGCACCTGGGTGGCTCAGTCAGTTAATCATGACTTCAGCTCAGGTCACAATCTCGCAGTTTGTGAGTTCAAGCCCCACATTGGGCTCTCTGTTACCATCGCAGAGCCTGCTTCAGATCCTCTGTCTCCCTCTATCTCTGCCCCTCTCCTGCTCACCCTCTCTCTCTCTCACAAATAAACATTTTTTAATGTATACAAAATTCACAGATTCTCTTTGTTTAATATATAAAAAAGTATTTCAAATCAGGAAAAGATCAACATAACAGGAAAAGAGATCTAGAACAAAATAAATGTGCACAGACCAAAACAAAACATGTTGTATCTAAATAATAATAAGAGAAATTAAAATTCAACAAATGCCAAAGTAATTGATGTTAGCAAACAGAAAAAAATTGAGCACATCATTAATCTGCAACCTAACTGTAATCATATTAAGAAAGAAGACTGTTTATGAGTTTAAGACATCATATTCTTTCAAAAGCTTTCATTATAAAAATTGCCATTACATGCAAATGTTAATTAGCTGCAGATTGTTAGGGACTGAAAAAGTTTGTGGATTTGTGTGGATTTGCAAAGTTGAAGATCATTATTTCTCATTTAACTAATAACTGTGATGGACTTAATTTCTGTATTTCAAATTCAAGAAATGAATGTAGTGAGAGTTTAATTTGTCAGCATTTCATAATTCTGTACTTAAGTAGTTTATTTTTTCTTAAAAATATATAAGCAGTTTCATTTCAGTGCTTAAAATAAATTTCCCTTTTTTGTTAACTGGTTTTCACCCAAATCAATGCATCAGTCTGAATAGTGACAATGTCATTTTCTTGATTGGTACAGGGGGGCAAATGACATTTCCTGACTGCCTTTTCTAAGTGAGATATTGCACTAGTGCTTCATACATACTGTCTCATAGAGTCTCAAAATTAATTGTTCAGATAAATGCCTGACTCATTTTACACATGAGAAAACTGAGGCTTAGAGATATTGATAACATGCAAAAGGCTTATCAAGAAATTAAGCTTAGATCTTATCTCAGATCCATATGAGTCCAAAGTCTGAATGTCTTTAATAAGGTCTCTGATATATCAGACAATTTATCATTGCTTTTATTTATTTTTTTTTAAATGTTTTATTTATTTCTAGGAGAGAGAGAGAGAGACAGCGTGAGCAGGGGAGGGTCAGAGAGAGAGGGAGTCACAGACTGAAACAGGCTCCAGGCTCCGAGCTGGCAGTCAGCACAGAGCCCGACGCGGGGCTCGAACCCACGAACCGCGAGATCATGACCCGAGCGAAAGTCGGACGCTTAACCAACTACGCCACCCGGGCGCCCCTATCATTGCTTTTAAAATAACCTGGCTTACTGGACACTATATACGAAAAGACGATTCATATACTAAAAGGATTGTATAAGATGTAAAAATTCAGAACATAAGCTTGGATCTTTCTCTTCAACTTTGTGTAGCTTTGGGTAATATATTCCAAAGCTTTTGACTGTTGCCTCCATCTTTTATATGAAATGGTATTATCAGATGACTGGATGGCCTTGAAGGTTGTGGTGGTAATCAAAATATTTAAAATCAGCATAACACAACAGACCAAACAAAACAGATGGCCAACCAATCAGAATTGAGATCAGCTCTAATGAGCCAGTATCAAGAGCAAGATGGGTTTCATTTAGTTATCAGATGAGATCCACAAGGCTTTCTATTTGGAAACATTATGAAAACCTATTTTGACATACTATGTTTGTGAATATTATCAATTTAATTTACATTTTAAAATTCCATACATATGACATTTGTTATTTATTTCTGTTACATTGAATTAATTGTTGTTTCAGCTTAAATAGCCATCTACTGAATATTATTTTCAGCAATACTCATGTGAATGAAAACAAAGCCAAAACCCCCTAAACTAACTAATAATTATAAAAGTGTATACAATCCTTAACATACATATTCTTATAACATGGAAATATTCTGAAGAAGAAAAGCATCATATTTCTTTGTAACATTGCAGATAGATTACAAAATACTAGTTATGGCTGGGCAACAAACATTTCATTGTTTGAAAAAAAAAAAAGGATTGCATAAAACTTCCTGGAACATTATTTTTTAGTGTTTAGTTTTCGTTTCCTCATACTTGGCCAAAAGAGCAGAGGACAGCAAATAAAAATGTTAGACATCACTTTTGGGAAGTACTCAGGAAGCTAATAAACTTTACAGCACGTACTTTCATCCTAACACTTTGAAAGAGAAGTCAAACCCCACAAAAGTCATCTAACTAAAAACATCATGGGAATAATTAAATTCCAAAATGTGGGTTATTAGAAAACCAAAAAAAATTAGTGCAAAACAATCCAAAGTTAAAAGATATTCTTGTTTCTAAAAAGAATTGATAACTATTGTATTTTTGCATATATTAAAAACCTGTAAGTTAAGAAACATCATATAGTTGAAAGAACAATGAAGTGTGCATTACATAGAAGGTACTAATCCTAGAACTGACCTTAGAATAGTCATTTAACTTCTTTGGTCTGTTTTTCCTTATCTATAAAATAAGGGTACTGTAACCGAATGACATAAGCTGGTTTCTTTAAGTGTTATCATTGTAACTTATAAACTTTGAGATGTTAAGCTGCTTGGTACATTTCTCTGACAATAAATCAGCAGTGTATGATATAGATATGCTTCTAAGGGGAATAAATGTAAAATAAAAGTAAAGTGTCTAGTATGATGACTGACATGTAGTAAGTGCTCAACAATTATTACTATTATGAACAGAGCGTAGAAGTAAAATATATTGGCGTTGTTAAAGGGTCTCTACGGTCTCATTGACACAAAATACTCTCTGACAAAAGCTACATCTAGATTCATGAACAAATACTGACCAGTGTGTCAATAATGAAGAGGAACACAGCTTTCAGGTTTTTCTTTGATTGACCAGATTCAGGAGTTAAGACTATAAAAACAACCACTTGCTTTTATTACTCTAAATTACAAATCCAGCAATCAAGCAATCGATCAGTAACTGGGCATTTCAGCAACTTGTTTATTCAGAACCAAACAAAAAGGGACTGATTTAGTTACAGCCATTCAAAAATCTACATAAGGTATACACATTAAGGAACTCTAGCCCTGCCACCTGCTTAGTGGGAAAATAAGGTGGACAAAGGAGGATTAAAGACACTGAGATGGGATTATTTAATAAGACTAATTATTAAAAAAGAGAAAAGTCCATCTCTATTCCATGGAGTAAACACCACTCTAAAATTTGGAGAAATGGATTCTTTTGGGAGGTGCAATATCATGATTTTTAAGAAATATATATTTGGACATTCAGATCATCCACGGCTCTTGGATCATAGCTCCCAAAACCCTTGGAATTTCCTGAAGAAAAAGAATGGAAACATTTTTTGTCATAATATTTCTTTCCTTGTCCTCAGTTCCTGATATTAATTCAGAGCCATAATAGTGAAATGGGTGTCTTATTATTCATAACAAGCCCCTTTCCACCACAACCAGGTTGATATTAATAAGGTGACTTCTGGAAAGTACCTCTTTTGGGGGCTTGTTGTCAGGGGAACAAACCATGAATAGAGGGGTGGAACTTTTAGTCCCATACCCTGATATCTGAGAAAGGGAGAGAGGTTGGAGTTTGAGTTCAACAACCAATGGCCAATGATTTAACCAATTGTGCCTATGCCCATAATGATCCCTCCATAAAAACCCAAAGGAAGGAGTTTGAGGAGCCTCTGGGTTGGTAAACATGTGAAAATGTGGCAATAGTGGTGCACTCAGAGAGGGCGTGCGTGGACACTCCATGCCCTTTCCCCATACCTTGCCCCATGCATCAACTCCATCTGGCTGTTCCTGAGTTACATACTTTTCCCAGTAATCCGGGAAGTAAATGTTTCTTTGAGTTCTATGAGCTGTTCTAGAACATTAATGGAACTTGAGTAGGGAACTCTGATTTTTAGTCTGTTGGTCATAAGTATGGCTAAAGGGGCACTAAGTGGCTCAGGCAGTAAAGCGTCTGACTCCTGATTTTGGCTCAGCTCATGATCTCATGGTTCGTGGGTTCAAGCCGCATGTCGGGCTTGTGCTGACAGTGTCGAGCCTGCTTGAGACTCTCTCTGTCCCTCCCTTGCTTGCACTCTCTCCAAAAAAAAAAAAAAAAAATTAAAAAAAAAAGTATAGCTAACAACCTGGACTTGTTAGTAGCATCTGAAATCAGCTTGAAAATGCACCTGCCTTAAATCTTATCTCAAAGGGAACAGACACACCAAAAGCACAAAGAGTCAAAACCTGATGCATTATAATTCACAGGGCCAACTGAGCATTTCTTGTGTGTCAGTTCAGCCAGTCCCTTAGAGCTTTCTGCCAGAGAGGTTCTAGAATTAGGGATACATTTAAAGGCCTTGGAGGTGTTTTACAACCTCTCCATTGCCATAGCCATCCCGCAACCCTACTTTCATCCTCCTAAGATTTATTTCATTAAGCTTTTATTTCTTCTGACATTGAGTCCAAGTTGCTGCCCCCCCACACCTGCCCTAAATTTACCTGATCTTTTCATGGATGCCAAGGTGAAAGCAGGAAAGTCAATGAGTCATCTTACCTGAAAATTCTTCAACTGAAACCTCTAGAGTGTTTTCAATTTTTAGAGTTGATTATAATTCTAATAATGATACTAAAAAGGATGCATCAATGAGTGTCTTGAAACTGGCATATTCAGAATAAACAATGTCATTAAGTTAAAATAGTGGGAAGATATTTCTGTTTTGAAAAACGTCTTTCGATAAATTTTAAAGGGAGAGACAAGGCAACAGGCTTTGGCCTCATTTAGTTTATCCTGAAATTTTCATCACTTTGGAATTTAAGAAGAGAGTTGGAGGATCCTAAAATATGATATTGATCTAAGAACCATCTGTTACCAATTTTGAGTCACAGAGAGAAATATCATAATTTTAGGACACAATGGGTTTGACCATAACATTCGGTGACCTACATTTATATTTGGATAAGCACTGTGAAATGCTTAGTCTTATCTCACAAGAGTATATCAATCCAACATTTTCAAAATAAATGAACATGGTAAAGCATTAATTATTCATGTTATGTTATAGAATATGTTGTAACAGTAGAAGAATAATAATAACTTATAATTATGTATCATACTATAACATAAGAATGGATCATTAATATGCTTAGCTGATAATTAATGGTTCTTTAAAAAGACAAAAAAATTGTCCAGTTCTGGCAGAAATTTTCCAGGCTAGTTGATTAACTTAAAGAAAATAACTGTAATTATTTCAATGGCATCCTTCCCACTGGTATTGAGTGATGACCACTTGCAAAATAGTTTTAAATAAAATGCTCAGACTGTTCCAGTTATGTTTCAAGTAATATTTGTGAACCATAACCATATTCAGTGATTGTTTTAGCTCAAAATATATCTCCCAATGAATTATGTGCCATAATGTATCTGATTTAAAATATTCTAAGCAAATTAAAATAAATTATTTTTGATATATTAAAAACTCTTTGTCTTGTTTGGGTATTTTAAAATATACTTACGGGTTATCCAATAGCAGTACTATGGGATTAAGTTCTTTCTTTGGTCTATAATATGCCCTGAGAGGAACAATAAAATTATACAATCCATTTCCAGCTGTTTCAGCTGCAACTATAATTAGCTTATTTTTGAATCCATAGGCTTTTGCGTCCTCATAGTAGTTATGCTGGCAACTCTAGAGAAGAAAAATTATACAAAGAAATGCCATTTTTATACTCCACTAAAATTTGGTGAAAAAATTTAGGATATATGGAAAAGTAAAAACAAAGTTAACCTAGTAAATCAGATATATGGTAAAGTAAAATTAAGTTAACCTGGTAAATCCTTTATTTTATAAAAAATTTGAAAGTAGTTCCATTTTTTTCTATGCCATTCTCCAGCCTGCTTCAGGAAATAAAGGTGTGCATGGACAAGATAAATGAATTGTGGGTGTGTAGCATGATGTAGGGGAAGAGAAAGACAGAAATACATGTGCGCACATGTTCTATTGGAAACCAAAATATACTGCTAGATGACATCTGGGTATCTACATTTAAAAATTATCATAATGTGTATGTATTTCAAAACAACATGTTATATACCTTGAATATATACACAATTTTAATTTGTCAATTAAAACTCAATGAAGCTGGAAAAATCTATTTCTGATTTTCATTTCCAGAAATATAATAATATTATAATGAACTAAGCTTTGAACATTTCAAGTTCTGAATATATAAAAGGATGAATATGGAAAAAGATTTTCTTTGTTGTTAAAAAACAAGCAAAATAATTCAAAACAAAACAAAAAACCTTAATTAACTGTATACCTGAACTGTCAAGATAATGATAAAAATACACAAAAGTACAATACTACTACTAATAATAACAACAAAAACAATAGCAATACTTTATCAAAACTCATTGTTGTCCTCAGAGTATTTAGCTATTTTCTAGGGGGCTGGTACTTACTAGACTTAGCATTATTAAACTGAGGTTCTTTTAAACTAAACTATCTGCATGGAAAACTGCTTTAGTGTTCTGCTTTTTCATCTATCTATGTCTCTGTTTATTTGGGTTGAGATTAGTTGAATCTCTGTGGATTCATCAACAATTCTGGAATATTCTCTACCTTTATTCTTTAATAAAAAATTACAAAATGCTTTTGGGAACAAGGCACCATGAGTCAACAGAAACAAAAATGATAGAATTAGACTCACAAAGACTATAAATTATTGATGTTATTAGATTCAGAATATAAAATGAACACGTTTACTGTGTTTAAAGTAACAGAACATTTAAAGTATGAACAAATAACAAGAGATTATTTAAAATACTCAGATAGATGTTAAAAGAAATGTATGTATTTGGGGTACCTGGGTGGCTCAGTTGGTTAAGCCTCTGACTTCGGCCTAGGCATGATATCACCATTCCTGAGTTCCTGAGTTCGAGCTCCATGTTGGGCTCTGTGCTGACAACTCAGAGCCTCGAGCCTGTTTCAGATTCTGTGTCTCCCTCCTTCTCTGCCTCTCCCCCACTCATGCTCTGTCTCTCTCGCTCAAAATAAAATAAACACTAAAAAAATGTAAGTAATGCATATAGTCTCTTCTAGAACTAAAAAGTACAATTAAAAATGAAAACTCAAAGCTGGGTTAGATTACACATTTGATGCATGTGAATGGGGTCAACTGCAGGACAGAGTTGAAGTCACTATTCCAAATGTGAGAAGAAAAGAGGTATAAAGTAGTATAGAAAAATTAAGATATTTGCACAGTAGTGTGACAAAGTCTAACATACATTTAAACAGGATGAAATGAGAGTATCAGTAAGAAGCACTATTCAAGCAAATATTGACTGAGAATTTTCTAGGATTAATGAAATACTCAAATCCTCAGTCAAATAAGTAAATAAAAATCCAGCTTCATATGCATGGTAATACAAGTGCAGAACAACCAAGACAATGAGATCTTAAAACCAGCCCAACAGAAAAGAGAGACTATCCACAAGGAATAGAAACTAGAATGATGGCCAACTTCTCAATAGTAACTTGGAGCCCATAAGACAGCAGATAAAATCCTAATGTGCTTGAAAGAAAAAGAAAACTGGTAACTTGGAATTGGACACCCAGCAAAACTCTTTTAAGACTAAGAATATATCTAGGGAAACTGAAATTGACAGAATTTAACACTAATAGGATCTTAGTAAGAGAATTTCTAAAAGCTATAAGCTAGGAAGTAGAAAAATGAATCCAGAAGGAAAGTTTAAGGTATAAAAAAGAATGGAGAAAAGGGGAAATGATTTCAAAAAGCAGGGAGCAATAAGTCTTCATGGGAAGTATGATTGAAGATTTACTAATATAAGTAGGATCTGAAACCACATGAAGGATGAAGTCATTCACAAAGAGGTCGTGGAATGAGAAGAGTGACAGGTGATGCTGAGATTATTAAGAACGTGAATGTTTATGAGATAAAATGAGTAAAACAACTACTTTAGAATTAGCTTAATTAGGGGCGCTTGGGTGGCTCAGTCAGTTAAGCGTCTGACTTCAGCTCAGGTCATGATCTCATGGTTCGTGGGTTTGAGCCCCATGACTGGGGCTGTGCTGTGCTCACAGCTTGGAGCCTCGAGGCTGCTTCGGATTCTGTGTTTCCGTTTCTCTATGCCCCTCTCCTGCTTGTGCTCTGTCTCTCTCTCAAAAATAAATAAACATTAATTTAAAAAAAAAGAAGTAGCTCAATTAATAAGGAAAAAAACAGGAGAAACAGGGAGTTTAGTGTTAATAAACCTTGATCAGGAACCAGCTTGTTGATACGGATGCAGAATGAACTGGGCAACATAATCCCAACTCACACTTCACACATGCAGTAGGATTGGCTGCCCAATTCCATCTCCTAATTGCAAAGTAGGCATTTCTTTATGGAGCAGACCACCACCTGCAGCCAACCTAACACTAAATAAATAAAGGATAATACCAGATGTCATCAACCAGTCAGCAACATTCTCTGTATGGTAAGGAGACAGTTCAGAGTCTTTGGTTTTAAAATACCCTCTATTGTTCCTTCAACAATCTGTATCTCTGAATGCTTAACTTTTCAGTTTTATCAGTTGTCTTGCTTGGGGACAAATAATTTCCACTCTTTGGTCTCCCAGTATGTTTTTTTCTCTTGACCTGTGTGTTAAAAATTAAAATGCTACAAGAAGTGAACCTAGGTTTTGTGGGGCCTAAAGCCTGTGTTATTTGGGGAATCCTCTTTAAGGAAAGTAACACAAATATTATAAATTTTAAAAAAAGTAGTCACCGGTTCTTTGAAGGGGCCAATACAGGTGGAGAGTCCTGAAGCTTAAGGTTTATTAATGTTACCAAAAATATACAGATAGTTAGCACTATCAAATGCTGCAGACAGTAAATTAAAACAAGAGCAAAAGAAAAGAGGCATTGAGAGATGGAATTGTCCATCTTAATGGACCCAGATGAATATTTGGAAGATTTACCAAAAAAAAAAAAAAAAAAAAAAAAAACCCTTCAGAATGATGAAAGCAGAATTTTCTAATGTTCTGCTAATTTTCCTCAGGAATGACAGTAACAGCAAAGATTCATGATGGTTATTATATAAAAAAAGTAATGGGTAGCAAGAATACTAACAGAATGTCTTAACATTTATTAACTTCCAGGCACTATGTTAAGCATTCCACACACACTAATTTATAGAATTCTCAAGAACCCAATGACTCATAGTAAAACCACAAACATTTTGCAAATGTGGAAACTGAAATTTAATGGTAAAGCTATTTGCCCAAATTGCAAACCCTCAAAGCAGATTTTAACCCCCATTAACTCCAAACTTTAGAGTAAAATTCCTGGTTAGAATGAATGGTGCATTTTAATTTCTGGAAGGTAGGAAGAGCGGTTGAGAATCTTCTTTTTATGTGCTTTCTATTCATCAAGAGAACAAGCTCTTATACAAGTCATGCCAATTGGCCTTATTGTGAAAGAGATTTAAAAATGCTTGCATTCTTGGACTCTTTCTGTTTTGAATGATTTCTTTAGAACATCCAGCCAGGAACCAAGAACTACAGTAAAATCTTTAGGAAAGGAGAGATTAATGAAAACACTGATATTAGCTTTCAGTCTAGTCAGTAATGCATCTTTGTGGCTAACACATAAATCAGCTAATTTTATCATGTCAAGCAATTCCACACTAAGTTTTGAGGCAGAAATGCCTGGAAAAATAAATAGAGCCCATTGGGCCAAAGTAATTTTGAGAGACTTTGGATGTTGAGAGTTCATAAGTTTGAGATTCTGGCACCTTTGTTTTTTCCTTAAAAAGACAACTGGCTGACTCATTGGGGACTTTAGTAGAAGAGTAATGCATTTGGGTAATCATTTAGTTCAGTTAAGAAAGTACAATTCACCATTTTATGTCTTACACTTACATTGGAAAAGAAAATGCTCTTTTAGTCAAAAGACTATACAAAATTATTTAAATATATGTAATTACAAAATGCCATATTCAGGTTTGGAGAAAATAACATTTACTTACCTTGTCTAGTCTTAAGCAGCAAAATGGCACTTTTTCATGAAGGAGATGACAAAAAGTGGGTGAACTTCCTATATATGGAGAGTAAGGTGGGTAGCCTTTAGCATATCTGTAAAACAATATGAAATATTTGAGTTGCCCTGAATAAAACAAAGCTGGACAATTATAGCCATGCCCTCCTATTTTCATAAAGTTAGATGCAACTCTTTTTGCTGCAATTGCATTTTGATAAAGAAAGACTTTAGAAGAAGGATAAGAAAACCAGGACCCATGGACCATTTCTGGCCCACCAGCTGGTTTTGAGAATTATAAGTCATTTTTTTAATTTTAAAGAATTGGAAAAAATTTTAAAAATGAATGGTTGAAAAAAACCAAAATAATAATATTTCATGTCACATGAAAATTATATGAAATTAAAATTTAAGTATCCACAAGTAAAGTTTCTTTAGAACACAGCCATGGTCATTCATTTATGTATTGTCTATGGGTGCTTTCATGTGTCAAAAATAGTAGGGTATGTACAGCAAAGACAATACGGTCTATGAAGTTTAAAATATTTACTAGCTGTTTCCTTCTATAGAGAGTTTGTCAATCCTCGGTTTAAAATAACTAGGTAGACTTTTTAAAATAGCAGTATTATTTTTTATAAAACACATTTAAAGCAAAATGAGTTATTACAATTTACTTCATCAATACTTATTAGTCATGGATGCATAATCACAAAGGAGTAAACAGTTGATTTAATCATTCAAACATTCACCAAATACTGAATATTGTTGGAGTCTTGCTTAAAATATTATCAAAAATATTTACTTGTTTGCTGACTTCATGAAAATAGCCACTTGTATATCATGGCTGTATTGACTTTCAAAATAAAACCATCAAAAAGTAGCAGAAGCAGAAAAAAATATTTATATTAAGAAATAAAACAAAATTTAGTAGAGGCAAAAATCTCTTTATGCAATATCAAAACTGTTTTCTCAGTAAAAATTTACCTTCTAAACCAAGAAATTTCAAACCTAGATTAAGCTGTTTTCCGGACATTATTAGATAGGAAGGTAAAATGGTGCACCTGATAATCTCCACTTTTACTTCAACATCTTTTTTAGTTTTCTAAAAATAAAAATATTTCACCTCTCAATCTTTTCAGAGGACATAGAAAGAATTTCAATCACAGCACACAAAATCATTTCTAGGAAAATACTTGCACTCAAATCTCCTTGTTTCTATCAAATATTTCATAAATATATTGAATACTATTGATTTCTTAGAAAATGCATTGTGTTCTGTGGGTATATCAAATTCCTTGCAATAATTTTTTTATGTGTGAAGGAGTAAAAGAAGGATCTTTTTAAGTTTCAATTATATTTCAGTCTCTTTTAGTTCAATTCAACATTGACATCAACGTTAATTGAACAGCTATCATATGAAAGATATTGGGAGCAGTGTTTGAATGTTGTTACTATTGTCACTACTACTAGTGCTACTTCCTAGTAATTATAACTCATTGAAAGCTTAATCTGCACAAAGTATTGTCATAAGCACTTCTCCATTATCTCAATTAAACTTCATATGAACATTGTGAGGCAGTAACTATACTCCCTTTATAGATATAGGCATTGTGGTTCAGATTGTTTAATAAAAGTTACTTGTACATAACCAGCAGAAGGTGGAATTGCCATGAGAAACAAATACTTTCAGATTCCATAGTCAAAACTGTTGACCACTGTGCTTTCATCCAGAAATAGCAGTATAATATGTGATGAAGACACATAAGCAAACTCTATTGAAGGCTAAAATGTGACTGATAGCATGTACATTGGCCTATGTGTTATGGAAGTATAGTAAAGAGAACTAGTACTTCCTTTATCCATTCATTCAAAATATTATTTATGTATATCATATGAAAAATACTGCTGAAATGCTGAGTTATGAAAGGGAAGCTTAATGGAGGAAAGCTCCATTACATGCCATTGAATAATCGAACTTCAATATGGACATGGAAGGAAAAAAAGGTTAGAAAGTATAATATAATGAACAAAATCATATAGTCATGAAAATGCATCTTTATATCACAAAAATACCAATTTAAGTATTTTCTTCTTTAAGGATAAATGATAATTTAGAGAAAATGGATCCTGGAAATTCATGCTGAAGCCAGAAATTTGAGGTCTTAAAGTATTTTCTATTTTTACATAACAGAGATATTGGCTAATAGGAAGGATGTTTTGGTAGAAGTATGTAAAATTGATTCTAGGATGTCCAAAAGGTAAGGAAATTAATGTCTCATAGTAGCACAAATTCCAGTAAACCTGACAATGTAGACTATCTAAACATACTCTAAGTTTGAGGAAACTTCTTCATCTGGTGTAGTTTCATCTTCTGATTGATCACTTAGAAGATCACATGTTTGAATAGATGATGTATCTGCAACCTCTAAAACAGGGGCAATGCTAGGTCTTCTGATTTCTCTGCTTCCCTCTGTAGGAAGAGACAGGGTGGGGCCACTTGTTGATCTGCAGCTTGTGTCTTGCAAGTCTATAGCCACCGTACCTACAACAATGAAACATAAAAATCCATCAAAACATTTATCATCTGTGGCTAACAGACACACGAAATGATGCTCAGTGTCCCTCATCATCAGGGAAATACAAATCAAAACCACACTGAGATAACCACCTCACGCCGGTCAGAGTGGCTAAAATGAACAAATCAAGGGACTATAGATGCTGGCGAGGATGTGGAGAAACGGGCACCCTCCTACACTGCTGGTGGGAATGTAAACTGGTGCAGCTGCTTTGGAAAACGGTGTGGAGGGTCCTCAAAAAATTAACAGTAGAACTCCCCTATGACCCAGCAGTAGCACTGCTAGGAATTTACCCAAGGGATAAAGGAGTGGTGATGCGTAGGGACACATGTACCCCAATGTTCATAGCAGCACTCCCAACAATAGCCAAATCATGGAAAGAGCCTGAGCCTAAGTGTCCATCAACTGATGAATGGATCAAGAAGATGTGGTTTATCTATACATGGCAATGAGAAAGAATGAAATCTGGCCATTTGTAGCAGCATGGATGGAACTCGAGGGTGTTATACTGAGCGAAATAAGTCAGGCAGATACCATATGTTTGCACGTATAAGTGCATTAGGAGGAACTTAACAGAGGAGCATGGAGGAGAAGAAGGGGAAAAATAGTGGGGGAGAGGGAGGGAGGCAAATCATGAGAGATTCTTGAATGCTGAGAACAAATTGAGGGCTGATGGGGGTGGAGAAGTGGGGAAGGGGATTGATGGGCACTTGTGGGGATGAGCATTGGGTGTTATATGGAAACCAACTTGACAATAAACTATTAAAAAAATTTGCCATCTGAATGAGAATCAACCATTTAATGATACAAATACAACCAGGATAACCAGGGAATATATTATTGTTTATACTTTAATCTCAAAGTTATTACTTTCTTACATGGGCTTTTTTTGCATTCCTGGATAAAAAAAAATTGTGTATTTGTGCAAAAGTGTATTTGCTAAGTCTAGCTCTACTGCACAAAACATAAGACTTGCGAAATCCTGAAATATTTAGGAATTTAAAATGAAAAAAAAATACCTTATTGCAATTTACATTTATTTAAAACTAATAAGAACTTTTGGCCTTTGCAATATTGCGGATTTCTCATTATATCTTTTCCCTTCGTTTTGTTGAGTTATTATTCTCTTGTTGATTTGTAACCAATTTTTTTTATTCTCTTGTTGATTTGTAACCAATTTTTTATTAGAACATTAATATTTTATATTTATTCAACAAATATTTATGGAATAACCATAGAATGGCTAGAACCTAACCTAGACACTTCGAGTATGCAAGGGGTGAGACAATGTTTCTACACATAAGCATTTAGCTTTAAAATAACCAAATAGAGGGGCGCCTGGGTGGCTTAGTCGGTTAAGCATCCGACTTTCACTTAGGTCATGATCTCACGGTTCGTGGGTTCGGGCCCCGCGTCGGGCTCTGTGCTGACTGCCAGCTCAGAGCCTGGAGCCTGTTTCAGAGTCTATGACTCCCTCTCTCTCTGACCCTCCCCTGCTCACGCTGTCTCTCTCTCTCTCCTAGAAATAAATAAAAAAAAACATTAAAAAAATAAAATAACCAAATAGACAAATAAATGGGAAAAAAGCTCTTTTAGATAATGATAAATACCATGCAGAAAATAAAACAAATGACGTGAAAATGAACAGTGGGGTTGGGAGCAGGAAGATGTATGTACTTTTCACCAAGTGGTAAGGAAGGCTACACTAAAGTCACGATATTTGATTTTTGACTGGAAAGGCAATAGTGAGTGCACAAGCTGTGAAAATACCCCGAGGCAGCAGGAACAGCAAACCCAAATTGCTTTGGGCTTTTGAACACTTGAAGTAGTAAACAGTAAACAGAAGAAATGAATTCCTTTGGGATTTTTGTATTAGAATAAAATTAATTTAAACATCAATTTGTGAAGAGGTGATGTCTCTACCCTTTTGAAGAAAATAATACAATCTACTTGATGGTTGCCATCATATTTCACTACCACTCACTTCATTTATGCACTCAGTGATACCTTGTCATCCTTCTAAAAGCACTTAGACCTCACTTTGTCCCATCTGAATAAACTAGTAAAACACTCTCTACTTGTCTCAAATCTCTGACCTTCCCACCTCCTTTATACTATCATAGCAGGTGTCTTAAAGGGGGAATAAAACTAACGGATTTTAGCATCTCTTTCCTTGTACCTGGAAAAAGAGGTCAGCAACTGATTTCTAAAACCTCTGAGGAAACTACAAAGTCCTCACAGAAGGACAGATAAACAGGGAATGTTTTTGAGGGTGAGCGCTGGTAGCACAAGTCTAATGAGAATATTTGAATATTCCTCAAAATTCGAACAAATTCTGGGGGTCAAGTTTCAGAGACTTGTACCTCTTCATATACACAATACTCAGATTGGAGGGAGGGGAAGCCTAGGGTGTCTGTAGTCAGTGGGAAAGCCTTTATGTGAGAGGCATATATGAAACTGCTGTTTCTGAGAAAACATATGTGGCAACCAGCACTCAGCGATTCCAATATCAGCAAAGGTAAAAGGTGGCTGCCATCAAAAACTAAACACTCACCCAAAATTTTAGCATCATAAATAAGGATTAATCTATAATTCATTCTATCTTTGGGGGAAGGGTGAGTGGGGATCCTAGAGAAAATGAGATTAAATTTGCCATTAAATCTGGAATTGGTTAAAAACTAAATTTTATAAATTTGACTTACAAAAATGAAGAAGAGCTATATATGGTTTACATCCTAAGATCCTGAGTTAAAATTCAGATGTATGGGGCGCCTGGATGGCTTAGTCAGTTAAGTGTCTGACTTCAGCTCAGGTCATGATCTCATGGCCCATGAGGTTGAGCCCCACGTCAGGCTCTATGCTGACAGCTCAGAGTCTGGAGCCTGCTTTGGATTGTGCCTCCCTCTCTCTCTGCACCTTCCCTGCTCTCTTGCTCTCTCCCTCTCTCAAAAATAAATGTTAAGAATATTTTTAAGAATTCATATGTATAGTATAGTAGTTATCCTCTGCAAAGGACCACATTGCCAAATTCAAGTAGGAAACAGAACTTAACGTAGAAGAAATCCTTCAATTCCCTGACTTTAAACAAACATGAAAGTTTCACCAAACTTTTATTCCTTTATTTCTGCTTAGAAGCAAACAGACGTACCTCTGTTTATATAAAGCTCATCCCTACTCTTCTTTTGGGGAATTAAATCCCTTCCTGCTTCCTAGGTAATCATGATCTTTTAACTCCATTCCCCAAATATATTTGATTCCACATCACCCCCAACTACCTCTTTATCTTTTTCCTGTCCAACACAGGGAAATTTGGTCACTTCCTGATTATTCTGCCAACACAGGCACCTGGCACCAAACTGGGCATTTCCTGAGGAATAGGATCATGAGAAAATCTTGCAGGGAAGACACAATTTAGAAAGTAGTTTCAGTTACAGAAACACTCTGTTCTTTGAACATTTCTTTTCCTTAACAAAACTGGCTCTTCCTGACATCTTCCCCTCACCCCTTAAAAAGGCAGATTGGAAGTGGGGAAATCTCAGTGTTGTCACTGTCTGTTTTAGACCATTTTCCTTTTATCCTTTAGAAAATCCCAGCTTTGTATCCCATATCTTCAAGGTTCTACCGCCATTATCCCTCATGGCTGTGCTTGGTGAATAATCCTGTCATTCAACTGATTTCTTAATGATTCTAGTCAGTTTCTCCAATACTATTTGCATTCATTTGTCAGGACTGTCAAAACAAAAAACTACAGAAATTGGTTGGCTTAAGCAATAGAAATTTATTGCCTCACAGTTTTGGAGGCTAGAAGTACAAAATCCAGGTGTTAGAAGGATTGGTTTCTCCTGAGAACTTTAAGGGAAAGATCTGGTCCAGGTCTCACTTCTTGGCTGACAGATGGCCATCTTATCCCTATGTCTCCTGCTATTCCTTCAATGTGTCTCTGTGTCCTAATTTCCTCTTCCTAAAAGGACACCTGTCACAGTGGATTTGGGCCCACCCGAATGATCTCATTTTACCTTGATCACCTCCATAAAGACCTTAGCTCCAATAAAGATCACATTCTGAAGTACTGGGGGTTAGGATTTCAGCGTACGAATTTTGGTGGATACAACACTTGTCCTGCCTCATTCAGAGTGTTAAAAATGCAGGCAAATAATCCTTCCCACATGCAAATCTCACTTCTTTGAATTCACTAAAGAAATCATTTTTCACCTTATCTCAACCCCTGTCACTCTTTAGACAGTTTTATAACTAATAAAAACAATGTTGCCTTTACTCATTTCCTGCATTCACTCTCTGACCACCACTATTTCCTATCTTTTTAGGTTACTTTCATTTGTGTTTCAGCTTCAGCTAAGGTTTCACACTCCTGGAACTTCAATTGTATTTATGATACCAAATGTGAACTGTCTCCCTTACTCCTTTCATGCTCTGTCTTCTTCTCTCCTTACCCACCTTAGGCTCCATATTTAAACAGTATGATTATTTCGTAGCAGATACTCTTGGCTCCCTTGCCACATTTTTGCTCCCCTACTCTGCTGGCACAAGCAAATCCTGTTTAAATTCAACTCTCTATCTAACCAATACCTGCATCAATGCAAATGAATATACTTGGATAGTTTAGCTCCTGCATTAGTCCCTCCAGTGCAATGTCTGTCCTTATTCTTGGCAAGTTCTTTATGCACATAGATAGATTTATATTTCATTATACACGTAGATGATCCTTCCAATGCTCCAAACTTAGTTCCTTATCCTTTCATCCACTAATAGACTTTTCTTCCACCATTCTTTAACAACTCACTCCCACAGTCATACCCTAGATCTGACAGTTACTATTTAGTACATGTAAACTCTATTTCTGGTATCTCATTCTCTGATATGTACCTTTACCTCTTCTCCTTCCAACTCTCTCCTTTGTAATTCCCACTGGAATTATAATCTTTGAATCCACTACCTTTTCAGTTTCTTTCAACCCAAAATGTCTTTTCATTTCCTTACCTAAATTAGGTTCCACAATTTATCATTATATTCATTGTCTTAAATATATTGTTGATTGCCTTGCCCTTCTCACTTCCTTGTACATGTATCACAGCTACAAAGTCATTTCTTTGCATCCCCTTGCAGCAAAACTTTTTGAAAAACACTAGACCTAGTGCCTCTAATTTGTCGACTGCCATTCTGTCATGAACTCCTCTGATCTGCCACTCCAATCAAAGAGAAACAGTCACCATTTTGTTACGTTCCATTGCCAGTTCTCAATTCTGATGTTATTTGTATATTAGTGGCAGTAGACATGGCTGATCACTGCAGTATCTTGAAAATCTTGATTCATTTTGATTCCAGGACACCACACTTGCCAGACTTTCCTACTACCTTGCCAAGGGCTCCTTCTTGGATTCTTCTCATCTCCCTGATATTTAATGTTGATATCCTCCTGGATTTTCTCTGTTTATCCCTTTTCTGTCTATACTTATTTCATCAATGATCTTGTTCAGTATCATGGCTTTAAATATAATACATAAGCTCATGAACCCCAAATTTACTCTTTCAATGTACGCCTCTTTCCTGAACTCTAGACTTTTATGTCCAACTTTCTTTGTGACATCTTCTTCTCAATGTCTAACAAACATTTGGAGTTCAGTGTGTCCCAAACTGAACATTTTACCCCCCACCCCTAACTCCAGACAAACCTGCACTCCCCCAAGCCTTCCCTATCTCAATGGATAGCCATTCCTTTTTTCCAGTTGCTTAAACTGAAAACCTTGGAGTTCTTCACAGTTCTTTCTCAGTTTACTTCCAATCATCAGTGAATCCTGGTTATTCTATCTTCAAAGTATATCCAGAATTTTCTCCTTCTTACTATCTCCACTTGAAAGTACTCTGATCCTTTGGTCAAACCAAGGATCTCAATAGCAGCCAAAGTGATTGTTTCAAAACAGAGGTGAGCATAGATGAGGTCATGCCACTGCTCTACTTAAAACTTGCAATGGCTCCCCCTTCACTCAGAGTAGAAATAATAATCCTAACTTTGACTTTAAAATCCCCAACACAATTTTTACCTCTTCCACCTCATCTCCTGTACCCCACTATCCCTTGCTGTGTTTGAGCTCCTAAAGCACACAGTTAGGCTCCCAGTGGGGCCTTTGTAGTAGTTATTATCTCTTTCAGGAATGTTCTCCCTCCAGATACACACAGGACTAATTCCTTCATTTTCTTCAAGTATTTTCTCAAATGTCATCTTTTCAATGAGGCCCAAAAAACGTACATTTAAAATTCCAGTCTCTCCAGAATTCATAGACGTTTTTCCCAGCTCTGTTTCCTTTATTCTTATTACTCATCACTTTCTAACACACTTAATAATTTCCTTATTTTTTATGTGCTGTTTATTGCCAGTCTTCCCTGTGATTGAATGTAAGCTCTGGGAGTTAGGGATCTTTATCTACTTGTTCATTAATTTATCATAAATATAAGAGTTTCTAGCACATGCTAGGCACTCCATAAGTAATTGTGAATAATGAGAAAATAATGAGTAGGACTAATGTAGAAGAAAGATAATATGCTATGTTAATGACAGAGTTACCTAATACAGTCTTAGCAGGGCCATAAAATATTGATTGATACTGAGACTGAGATAATGAGAAAGATTGATACTGACACTGAGATACAAAGGATTAGAAGCTGTTACCTAGGCAAAGTTGGAGGCTGGGGAGTAGATCCTGTCAGAAGAAACTTCATGTGAAAAGGTCCACTGGTCAGAAACCATTAGTGAAGACTGAAAGGAATTTAGTAAGATTGGGACTCAAGAGCACAATAAAAGGGCTGATAAAATACAGGACTAGAAAAATAAGATGGAATCATTAAAAAAAACTTTTTAAGTAAAATGTGAAATTTATCTTCTTGAGAGTTAGAGGGGGATGGTCTTCAATAATTACACCAGGACAATGTATATAAACTGGAACTGTCCTGGGGCAACTGGGATTGACTCATGGGAATAAGAGATCTTGGTCATCCAAATTATAAGCCATGTAATATTATAAAATTCAGATGTTTTCCATTGGCCAGTAAGAAGCAATTCAAATGATTTATGCAGGGGACTAACACTATTAAAATTATGTAAGAATTATTACTCTGGTTTCAAGGTGAAGAATAATGCAAGACAGCATGGAGGCATGGAGAGAAGCTTGGGGGTGCTGATCCTGCAGCGGAGGAGAAAGATGATGGAAACTCACACAATGATCATACAGACAATGGACAAAGAGAGAAGGGAATGACTCTCAGCATTATTCAATGATCAGATTTAATAGAATTAGGTGAATTCTGAGAGAAGAGAGAAGAGAAACAGTGAAAAGTCAGAACTGTCTGTTTTTTTAGCCAAAAAAAAAAAAAAAAAATGGAGGAGGAAGTTGGTTTCAAATGATGGCAGAAAGATTAGTTCAATTTGAATATGCTGTGTTGGTTCTTTCTGTGAGGAATCCAGATAAAAACAACCAGGACACACTTGAATTTGGTGCTGTAAAGAGAAGTTTAAGTTAATGATTTACATGAGAGAAGCATCAATTTTTGGCAGGCAATTCAATCTATAGGAGCAGATGGGACTATTTAGGGAAAATTAATGTACACGATACAGAGAAAAAGCACTCGTGTGTTTCAGGAAGAGCACAGTCAAAACTGTCCCAGTCTGGGAAGATGCTCACTGAATTCAGTGACAAAGAGAAGAGTGATGACTTTGCCAGGGTAGTGATATATGGACTGCAGACTTCAGACTGAACCGGGTAGAGCAAGAGGGGTCAGTAAGATCTCAAGCCAGGCAACTCTTTCAGGGAATTTACTTGTGAAGACGTCATGCAAGAGGTTCAGGTGTGTGTGTGTGTGTGTGTGTGTGTGTGTGTGTGTGTGTGTGTAGAGATATGAAGACAGAAACACACAGAGACAGAGAGAGAGACAAAAAGGAGGGAAGGAGAAATGAGCTAATGATTTTGAAAAAAATAAAGTTAGGTAATGGGGATGAATCAAAATAAAGACAAGGTTCCAGAAGAGGTAAAAAGGATGGGTCCATTATATAAGTGAAGACATTACTATTAAAATGTTTAAAGTTTAAAAAAGGACACATTTCCTTGTGACAAAAACTGAATGTTTGTTGGCTTTTAGGTAGTATGATGGCAAAATTTAAAGGAAATTCTTATTTGTCTAGATCTATTTCTTTTTTTTTTAACTTCTGTGTCACAAAAGCTAACTTCAATTCTGAGATGGAGGATGGAAGAAAAGTTTTGAGAAAAATGGAGAATACCTGAAATAGCCTCAGTTGATAATCGTATAGAGAACTTAGAAGAGAAATATAGAAATGTCAGATGTTTGCATTATAATAAAAAATATGAAATAATTGTTGGCAATTTTGAATTAACTTAACTTCTTACCACTTTAACAGCTTAGAAATTTTGTTCTGTATACATAGTCACACCGAGTTTATAATATACATAAGTACTTTCTAAATTTGACTTTGAAATTTTAACAAACATTGAAGTATATATGTTATGCTTTAAAATTTTTTTTAATTTTTTATTTATTTTATAGAGAGAGAGATAGGGAGAGCACAAGCTGGGGAGGGGCAGAGAGAGGGAGACACAGAATTTAAAGCAGGCTCCAGGCTCTGAACGAGCTATTAGAACAGAGCCCAACATGAGGCTTGAACTCACAAACCGTGAGATCATGACCTGAGCCAAAGTTGGACGCTTAACCAACTGACCCACCGGGTGCCCCTTATTATGCTTTTTAAAGAAAGAAACTAATGATATTTCAAATTTATTTATACTTACCCATGCTGGCAATTATGCTATGTACAGGTAGTCGAGAAGGTCCATGATAAAATGACCTTGATACATTGCTTTTTTTCTGCTGGTCTTGGTTTTTAAATGCTGAATTCTCTTCTTTGGTAATATTAATATAAAAACATATATCTGTAGCATTCATAATATATCGAGGACCTGGATTCAGCAAAATGTTTTTATTATCCTCCCTCCGAACACCAATCAAGCAGACGCCAAACCTAAATTTTAAAAAATAAATAAATAAGAGTTTAAGAACTGTAATTCAGCAAGCTCTTAGTTTTTGTTTATTTGTTTTTAAGTTTTCATATGTAAGAAAATTAGTAAACTATTATAAGGCAGAGGTAAATTAAAACCCAAATCAGAGCCTTTTAAATCTTTTTGAAAAGATCCTGAAAGTTCAAGAATCAAAACTCTCAAGACTTTCTTGTTTTTACAGGAAAAGAAACTATGTTCTTGGTGTGTTGTGAAATCAATTTAGTTGACTGTGACATAAATATGTATGTATATATATATATACATATGTTTTTCTAAATAAAGAAGAATGGAATAAAAGATAATAGAAAACATCAGTATGTATATCATTAGTAGGGGTAAGAATGTGTGTATTGTGTCTTACCATAAATATGTATCTTCATTTGATCAAAAAATATAAAACAATAATACTTAGTCAAAAAAATTTGAAAGCCATTGGCCTAAAGGGAAGAAGAAACTAATGTCACATGACAAAGAATCAGGGTTCCTAATTTCTTTTAGTTCTGTTTCTACCATATTTGGTTTATTCTGAATTTTAGGAATAAAAAATTTAATAGTCTGAATAGGTCCACTGCTTAATTAGTAGAAATATCCACCACTAAATAAAACAGATATTAAAAATAGCTTTTATACTTTTTCAGGTATATGTTTTTTATGCGCCAAACACAAAATGTCCTGAATGTTTTTTATTTCAATGTCTTACAGTGCTACAAATAAATCTAGCTTAAAAATATTTTTTAAACACCAAAAGTATATTTAGTATGTATGGATAGAATCACATGGAGATGTTAAGCATGATACATTAAATACTAGATTAGTAGAATATACTAGATTATAAACAAAACCTTAAAAATGCTATTTTAATACAATTATAATACTGATATTACTTTCATTATAAATATACATTTTTATTTCTTCAGTAAATAACTTTTCTCAAAAAGGAAAAAAATATGTTCCATATTTGAATCAGAAGATACTATTGTTCACTTTTTAACCTATTTCTCTGGCCAAAGATAGTTTTTTTAAATGCCTAGTTTTTAATAAACATTATTATGACTTTGTTTACTTTTTAAAAAAATGTTTGTTTATTTTTGAGCAAGCGAGAGAGAGAGCAGGCACAAGCTGGGGAGGAGCAGAGTGAGAGACAGAGGATCCCAAGTAGGCTCTGCACTGACAGCTGCGAGCCGATATGGGGCTCAAGCTCAAGAACTACAAGATCAAGACCTTAGCTGAAGTCAGACATTCAACTGACTAAGCCACCCAGGTGACCCTTTGTTTACATTTTTAATCAACATTTTAAAATTAGATCTCTAAAGAAGATACATTTTCATGTATTTGTAAATTCTTAATGAATTAAAATATGTTCTTCAAAATAATTTTTTAATGTTGATTTATTTTTGAGACACAGTGTGAGTAGGGGAGGAGGAGAGAGAAGGAGACACAGAATCTGAAGTAGGCTCCAGGCTCTGAGCTGTCAGCACAGAGCCCAACTCAGGGCCCCAAATTCAACAATCAGGAGATCATGACCTGAGCCGAAGCTGGATGCTTAACCAACTGAGCCACCCAGGCGCCCATTAATGGATTAAATATGCTAAAGATAATTTATAAGATACTAAAGTTGAGGAGCCTCAGGGGCTTAGTCAGTTAAGCCTCTGACTCTTGGTTTTGGCTGGGGTCATGATCTCACAGTTTGAGTTCAGGCTCTGCGCTGGCAGCGTGGACCCTGCTTGGGATTCCCTCTTTCCCTCTCTCTCTCTCTGCCCCTGCCCTACTTGTGTTGTCTCTGTCTCTCACATAAACTTAAAAAACAAAAGTTACTGAAGTCAATATTCCTACTAAATTATACTTTATACCTTTGTGGAGACCATACAGACTCAGAGTTCAAATGTCTCAGTAATTATGTTAAAAATTCCAGAATACTTAGAACCCATGAGCACCAATATGGGCTGATTTTAGAAAACTCTTTAAAAGGTATGATTGGTTTATATTTTAAGTCCACTCTGGAAGCAGAAACATACTTTTTGTGTGCATGAAAAGAGGCATATGTAAAACTCTTTCCTTCGTATTCAGCAAAAAATGTACTTTCTTCCAGAACAATGTGGTAGACTTCATTGCCAGAGCATCTACCGTACATCTTCTGCCACTGTTCTGGCGACTGCTGGCCTTCTCTGCAACAAAAGCACACACACATACACGCACACAAAGAGAAAAACACAGTGAGTGAAGTTAAAAACAAAAACAGTTACCATACATAATCTGGAGTTTCTCTACAGGAAGAAATAGTAAGCACAGTCCAAAGAAGTATTTGTATGGTGCTCTAAATGATGATATTGTTTACAAATACTTAGGAAGAATTACTACAAAAATTTTGAAACTAACACAATATATAAGCTTGAAAGATGGCACAATCCTAGAAAGTAGTTTTTCATACTCCAGTTAATGAAAACATTTATCCTGACCATGAACCGATGAGATATAGCATTTATAGCATTTCATTTTAATTTGTGTTTATGTCTATCCTGTCATGCACATCCTATATATTATACTTGTTTTATAGTCTAAATAATAAGGCTTATTTCATCTTATTTATGATATCTGTTTGGCCCCTATAGGTAAGTGATTTTGCTATGTATTTATAACTATATATGTATACACATCCATTTATTGGTATTTATAATTATATATGGATACACATCCACTTATTAAGTTGATTTCACAGAAAACATACTCTTAATTTCTGTCCATATCATAGCAATGGCTTTCTTCCAGTTATGTAGCAGTTAAGAAAAGATACCTCTTCATGATAAAAGGGTCTTCAAAGAGATCACCAGAAGTATTTTTTAAAAGAATATGTTTATCACAGAAAGTATACTTTTTATTTTCTGGAATGCTCTCCTCAGTGCCCTTGAAACTATATAAAAAAGCCAACCTATTAAAAATTCCTTTTTCTTATTTTTATAATATATTTCATTTACTTTTTCTGAATAAAGTTTACAGACTCTATAAATACAAGAAATGTATATTCTAGAAGGAAAGTGATAAATGCATAAATATCAAAACATTTCATCACATCGTCTATAGATTTTGGGTTTTTTTATTATTTTTTAATGTTTTATTTATTTCTGAGAGAGAGAGAGACAGCGTGAGCAGGGGAAGGTCAGAGAGAGAGGGAGACACAGAATTTGAAACAGGCTCCAGGCTCTGAGCTAGCTGTCAGCACAGAGCCCGACGTGGGGCTTGAACCCACAAACCGTGAGATCATGAGCTGAGCCGAAGTCGGACGCTTAACCGACTGAGCCACCCAGTCGCCCGTCTATAGATTTTGAATGAATAAAAGCAGATAACAAATCATATCTGTCATATTTAGGCTTTTAAAACATTTTGAACTCTGAGGTTTGTCTAAAGGATTATTAGAGACAATACATTTATTAATATTTTCAAAGAGTAGATAAGTTTTTAAAAAATTCATACATTTTCCAGGTATGTTTAATTGTGCTTAAGAGTCAAGAGCCTGGACCTTAAGAGTCTGAGTGCCTAATCTGAATCCTAATTCTGAGATCTTGAGTGAGTTACTTACTTCTGAGTGATTCTCTGCCTCTTCTGTGAAGAAAACATTATCAGCCTCACTGGGTTAGATACAAATTAATCACTTAGCAGATGTTGGGATCATAGTCATTACTCAGAAAATGTTAGCTTCCAGTATTATTTTGCTGTTTTACTTTCCTCATTGCTAGATTCTGGAGACATCTTTAACCAGCCAGTCAACCTATTGAACACTAACGCTCTTAAAACCTTTACTCTTTCTTCTGTAACAATGTTAATATGTTTTTGGAAATAGGAAAATAAAACACTTTTGACTATAGACTGCATATGGCTACACCCAACTACTATTTTCTAAGAATAACTGTTCTTGGTAGAGAAAACGTTCCCTTTGGCAAACAAAAATAAAAATCATCTTTGTTATGTACCACAGTGCTACTTGGCAAGATGATACTTGGCAAAGATAGACTCCATTTAAATGGGCTGCAAATGTAAGAGAAGACGCCAGTAATTCATCAGGGTTTGTTTGAGATCCAAAAGGTAGCATGGAGTCCAATAATTGTCACACAAGGGTACTAAAAGCTATTCAAGAGAATAATAAATCTAAGTGTAGGGGCTGAAATGAGAAAACGATATTGTAACTTGAAAAGGAAAGGGTTACACAAGGACATTGCAGATGGATTTCCTTAAATCATTTGCTTCTTTTCATGTTATTTTATGCTTTCATGCCAGGAGACATCTTTATGATTTATTCAAATATATCCCTAATAGGTTACCAAGAATCTCTATGTTCAGTTACTTGTAAATATACAAAATGTTCTCCTTTTAGCTCATGTAAATATAAGATATTATTAATGCCATTTAATACCACTGGGTATGTCCAGTTCTTACTTAATAGTTCTTACATGAAATATTTATCGAGCACCTAGGCTGTGTCAGGCAAAGTTCTAGATTCACAAGTTATGGCAGTTAACAAGGAAAAATGCCTTCTTGTTTGAAGCCTCTAGTGAAAGAAGCCTGACAATAAACAAAAGAAGCAAACTGTTATGTTAGAAGTGATAAGTGACAGAGACATAAATCAGAGAGGGAAATAATTTTGAGCAGTGAATTGAAAAGTAAATGGTATGGTTGAGGAAGGCATTGCTGGGAGGATGACATTTGAGTAAAAGTCTTCAAGAGAGTAGGAAAGGCAGCCATACGACTTCCCAAGAGAATACTGTTTCAGGCAGAAGTAGTGACAAGCACCTTCCTGAAGCAGAGAACTCCCTGGTTCTCTGGGATGATGAAGGAAGGGCAAGGAGGCCAGTTGGGCTGGAGTTGGAGGAGGAGAAAAAATGAGGTCAGAGAGATAACTGGAAAGGGAGAGGGGTCATATACAGGTTTACAAAATTTTACAATGACTTGGACTTGCACTTGGGATGATTTGGCAGCCACTAAAGGATTTCGAAGATGGGTACAAAAGATTCTGACTTTAATTTTTTTTTGTTTTTTTTATTGTTTATATTTTAGTTAGTTAACATGCAGTGACATATAGGTTTCAGCAATAGAATTCAGCGAGTCATCACTTACATACAATATCATCACAACAAGTGTTCATCACAACAAGTGCTCTTCCTAACACCCATCACCCACCTAGCCCATCGTACTAGACACGTTCCTGAAGGCAAGGGAAATGAAGGCAAGCATGAACTACTGGGTCTTCATCAAGATCAAAAGCTTCTGCACAATGATGGAAATAATTGACGAAACTAAAAGGCAACCTACAGAAGGGGAGAAGATTCTGACTTAAATTTTACAAAAATCCCCCCAGGTCAAAGTGCTGAGAATAGATTGAAGAAGGAGTAATGACTGATGAGGAGGTTACTACAATGATCCTGCTGGATGATGATGGTTTGGACCAGATTAGACTCTGGGTGTGTTCTGAAAGTAGACCAGAAAGAATTTTCTAATGGAAGAGAAAAATAAATATAAAAATCTTAAGCACTCATGTCCATTAGAAATATAGATAAATAAACAAAAAATAAAATAAATAGAATCCATAAAGATAACAATGAAAATACAAGTACCACTACTTATAAAACATCATGGAGAAATCTCAAATACAAAATGTTGATATTTGATAAAAGGAGTGATTTCAGATTTATTATTTTAAGTCCAGAGATATTATATGTGGGTATCAGAAACATTTGGAATGTTTATTTTTAAAATCTGAAATCCTAGGTACCTGGATGTTAATGATAATAATCTTATAATTTTTGAATGTCTCAAATATTTCTAATTGCATCACAAAAAAGAAAAACAGGACTAACTCAAAAAGATAACTGCATCTCATGTCCATTGCAGCATTGTTTACATGAACCAAGGCATAGAAACAACTGAAGAGTTCATAGATGGATGAATGAATAAAGAAAATGTGGTGTAAATATATGTAACGAGTTACTCTTCAGGTATATAAAAGGAAATCCTGCCATTTGTGACAATACGGATGGACCTTGAGGTTATTAGCTAAGTGAAATAAGTCAGACCAAGACAAATACCATATGATCTCATTTATATGTAGAATATTTAAAAAAACCGAAACAACAAATGAACTCGGAGAACAGACTGGTGGTTGCCAAAGAGAGTAGTTGGGGAGGTGGGTGAAATGGATTAAGGTGAGCAAAAGATACAAACTTCTAGTTATATATGAAATAAGACCTGGGAATATAATGCACTGCATGGTGACTATAGTTAATAATATCATATTATATTAGAAAGCTGCTAACAGAATAAATCTTAAAAGTTTGGCTTACAATAAAAAATTGTAAGTATGTGTGGTGATGGATGTTAACTAGATTTATTGGCAAGCTCATTTCCCTCTCGACGTGTGTGTGTGTGTGTATAAGCATGTGTTTGTATGTACACATACACGTGTATATATATAGATGGATAGATGGATAGAATTCAGATAGAATTATCTGAAACTAATGTAATATTACATGGAAGTTATATCTCTATTTTTTAGAAGGGTATTTTATGGCCTGTATAAGTGTAAAAAAAACCCTTTCATTTGTCTTCAACTTACTACTCTACCTAAATTTTCGCTTCATCTATCTTACTATATGTTTATAGGCAGAATTAATTCAAAATTATTTTTGAATGGAGGAAGACAATCACATAAATAAAAAGATATTTCCAAACGTCTCATATCAGAGAATTCTTTAATTCCACCATCTAAGTGGATCTTGAACTCACCACTTGTCCCTTTCTTCATCAATTCTCAGACTCTTAAAATAGCCCTACCCATCTTCTTGCCTCCTTGCCTCCAGTATTGGCCATTACAAATCCATTTATGGTGCTGTCAGAAGAGTGAATTTCAAAAATTCAAATCAGTTCATGTCACTCTCCTGTCGAAAATGTTTAAAGGGCTTCCTCCTTCCATTTTAAAAATGTAAACTTCTTTATCATCATTACAAAGCTCTCCAGACCTATGTTATGCCTGCCTTTCGAATTTCATTTGTTACTTCTGTCTTCTTTGTCTTGTGTATTCCAGCCATGAGCACTTCTTAATTTACCCTGAACAAGAAACTATTTCTTATATTTTGGCCAGTGCTGTTCCTTCTATCTTCGATGCTTTACTCATTCTCTG